ACATTTAACATTTTTATTACCTTGTAATTACATGGTAATAAGGTAGTGATTACCATTTAACATTTTTATTACCTTGTAATTACATGGTAATAAGGTAGTGATTACATTTAATTAACATTTTTATTACCTTGTAATTACTTGGTAATAATGTAATTAACATTTTTATTACCTTATAATTACATGGTAATAAGGTAGTGATTACATTTAATTAACATTTTTATTACCTTGTAATTACTTGGTAATAAGGTAGTAATTAACATTTTTATTACCTTATAATTACATGGTAATAAGGGTACCATAAAAGAAAGCGTTATCGATATTCAAGTTTTTGTTTTTGCTAAAAGTTCTGTTTATTCATCCATCAGTCTTCAGGATCAGTCCACCTCATGTGTTATTTAACTCATTTAGATTTAGACACTGAAGTCAGATGCTTTATTTTCATTATTATTCAGCAGAGATGGGTCCGGTCCTMCAGGTAAAAGACCAAATAAAACATTTAGGTTTTTGCTCTGAGACGTTTTTGAACRCAACGTGGTGACAGAGGTGGATGTGATGTTTCAGTTCGACCTGGTCTGTTCTGACGGYTGGTTGGTGGATCTGTACCAGGCCACTCTGAACGTGGGCTTCCTGGTCGGCAGCATCGCCATCGGTTACCTGGCTGACAGGTGAGTTTGTTGCCCCGAAACCTTCGATCCCTGTCCAGGTTCAGTGCAGCGAAACCCAAAGGATGAAAGACAAACTGCAGGTCCTTCAGGTCCTCTGGAGAAGGGTTTTAGACTTTTACTTCACATTTGGACCAAAGTTCAGGTCGATGTAACAGTTAAAACAATCTGATCCTTGATTGATCAAATAAAAGAAACATATTTGGTTATAAAATGGCTACAATTCATTTTGTCCAAAWAGAATCATAACCGTGAACAAATCAAGGTTTGAGTGAGTCGTTACATTCATACCATTTCTCTAGTTCTTCACGTAGTTATAAGTTTTAGTTTTTGTTTGGGTCTTTTTGAATAAAACTTTATCAGTTTTCCTCCAGGTTTGGTAGGAAGATGAGCTTCCTCCTGTCCAACTTGCTGAACGGGATCACAGGCATCCTGGTTGCCGTGGCCCCGAACTACGTGTCTTTACTGGTTTTCAGAACTCTTTATGGGTTCGGAGTGAAAGGAGGCTGGGTGGCCGGATACGTGCTGAGTAAGAACCGCTCGTCTCTGCCGAGGAAATCAGCAGGATCACAAAACTAAAGCTCTGTTTCAGTCACAGAGATCGTCGGGGTGGAGTTCAGGCGAACGGTCGGGGTTGTGTACCAGATGTTCTTCAGCGTCGGCATCCTCCTCCTKCCTCTGCTCGCCTACTTCATCACCGACTGGCGCTGGCTGCAGGTCGCCATCACCGCTCCCTACATCCTCTTCCTCTCGTACTACTGGTGAGAAAACACCAGTTTCACACAAACACTAAAGCCTTCATGTCAGCCACCTCCGCACGGGTGAGGAGGGTCCAGTTAGTACTAGAAAGACCTCTATGTTGAAGATGGAATTTAAAAAATCAACTGGAAGCCTCTTTTAGGCATGTAAATACTGCAATGCTAACAAATTGATCAAATATATAACTTTTTTTAGTAATTTGGACACTTTTTATTTGTAAGTTGGCATAAATTGTCTAAAATGTCATATTCCTTTAGGATCAGTGGTGGGCATTGTTAATCCAAAAAATTAGCTCCGCAATTTCTAAAGTCCTTATGAAATTATTTAGGTCTGCATCTTCAAAAGCACTCATGCCATAGAATTATTAGCAGAAGCTAATTTTAAAGCACAAGTTCAATTTGACACTTACTAGCTGACAACAATTCATGTACAATATATGCACAACACTGTCAACTAGTGGTGTATGAACACTTACGACTTAATCCTACAACCACTGATTGCTGGGGATGTGATTTCCTGAAACAGACCTTTGGTTCCTGGTGTAAAAATTTAAAAGTTGTTGAGGATTGCTAGTTCAGCTGATTCTTTAAAAAGTTGTTGAGGATTGCTAGTTCGGCTGCTTCTTTAAAAAGTTGTTGAGGATTGCTAGTTCGGCTGCTTCTTTAAAAAGTTGTTGAGGATTGCTAGTTCGGCTGCTTCTTTGTCTTTTTCTTTTGTTTATTGTAGATTTTTCATTAAAGAAGCATCAATAAAGTAATTTTAAAACTATTTATTGGAAAATTGAAGCGATGCATTCTGGGTACATGAC